TCCACTCAGGCAGGTACCAGGGCCAGCCAGCCCCAGACACTACAATGCTCTGACCTGGATGTAGAAAGCTGCTGCCCAACACCACAGTGGGATGGGTTCTCACCTCACCCATCTTCTGCACAAGCAATGCAAGAGCATCCTTCTCTACTGGGGAATCTCTCCTGATGAAATGTACTCAAGAATACTGAAGGAAAGAGCTACTTTGCAAGAACATGTTTATAAGCAGATGAGGAGGAACAGGGAAGTAAATCGCAGGAAGCAATGCAGAAAGTGGGAGATGAATGGGTGCAAGGCTCACAGACTCCAGCCTCTGTGGCCTGAAACAGCTGACACAGGCTGAGCCTAAACTCCATATTCACCAACTTCCCTTTCTTGTTCCTCAGTATTCAGTCGAGAGCAGACATGTTATCTGTAAATAGGACCTGACTACCATCTTTCAGATGAGTAGCTATTGTTTGGGGACACTAGTTACAGCCTGTGGCTATTCACTCCAGCTCCCCTGAAAAGCCAGTTGCAGCTCTGCAAGTACAGAAAGCAGTTTCTGCAGGCCAAACAGCAGAGGTCTAAGACCCAAGGCTAGATTTAAGAGGAAGTAATTAATGGATTTTCTCTCCCAACACAGCAACAAGGAAGTTCCCAGCAAAACTGACAGAATCAAGACGCAGTATTGTTGTGCAGTGAATAATTACATTGTGCAATGCCTCACTGGGTGTCGGGGGAGCTGAAATGAACTGCTTCAGAAGGTGAGGGTGTGTGCCAGTGCAGAGGGGCTGGAGGCTGAGCAGTCCTAGGAATCCAGCCAACATCCCTTCCAGGACACCCCCCGGGTCAGACCTTTCTTTCAACCAGAATGGAGGCCCTTGTGATCCGTGCAAGCATGTGCATGGAAAGTTTAGAAGAAGGGCAATTAGCTACTTACCACAGGGGCAGCAGAGGGCAAGAGAAGGCAGGAGAGGACAATAATCTTCCTGTTATCACCTTCCCCTGACTCACAAAGGCAAGCAAAGCTCGAACCCCAAACCAGGTGTCTCTCCAAGCACAGCTGATGAAGATATTATGGCCTTCAAATAAAAATGCCAGTAGCAGTCCAGGATATCTCCTTAGCTAGCATTCCCTGTACCGTTATTTCCTTGTTGTTATCCACAACCAGTGGTTTGTGCACAAGTTTCCAATTAAAGTTAGTAACCAGGCAAGTCTATACAGCTCAATAACAAGCTGATATTCATTACCCTGCTTTTAAGAGATATTAAACCATCTGAGACAGACCAATGACCTCTCCCATCAGAAAGAAAACACCAGGTGGGAAAGAGAAGGCAGCTGAAGACAATAATCTTCCTGTTATCACCTTCCCCTGACTCACAAAGGCAAGCAAAGCTCGAACCCCAAACCAGGTGTCTCTCCAAGCACAGCTGATGAAGATATTATGGCCTTCAAATCAAAATGCCAGTAGCAGTCCAGGATATCTCCTTAGCTAGCATTCCCTGTACCGTTATTTCCTTGTTGTTATCCACAACCAGTGGTTTGTGCACAAGTTTCCAATTAAAGTTAGTAACCAGGCAAGTCTATACAGCTCAATAACAAGCTGATATTCATTACCCTGCTTTTAAGAGATATTAAACCATCTGAGACAGACCAATGACCTCTCCCATCAGAAAGAAAACACCAGGTGCTAATTAACTTACTTAAGATTACATAAAGTAATTCAATGGGAAGCTGGAAATCTGCTTTCCTGACATTTAACTAAATCGTTTAGTACAGTGAGCATTTGTACTCAGATACCACTTCTGCAGGCCAAGTAAGCAAAGCTGGGGAAAAGAGCAAGGATGCTTCAGACACAGGGTGCAGTGTGGGAAAAGGGAGGTGAAGGACTCAGGAAAGAGCTGTTTAGCTGGTAAACAGAGCACATGCAAGAGCAGGAAATCATTAAGAGCCTACAAGGTTATCTCCAATTCCCATGAAGCAGCACAGCTGACTGTGCCTCTTGTTTTGAAAGACAAGAAAGTGGTGCTGGCTGCTGGGGTTGCTGTGGATGTGTTGGAGGGGAAAAGGAGAAGGGAGCGTGCACTGGCTCCACGGCCTCAGCTCCCTTGGTTGGAGCTTGGCAAAGCACCAAGCAGTAATTCCTGCTTTGGTTTAGCAGGGTAAACACCCTGAACTGGTGTCTGGGAGATTACATAAACCCTGCTCATCACCCCGATATCTACATACAAATAGTGAGAATTACAGTTATCTAATTTAAAATAAATTTATTTAACAAACTTAGAAATATTGCTTGTCATTTCCACGGGCTTCAGAAAATGAACAGGTGACCCATCGCTCCACAGGTTGCTGTACATAAGGATGTCTCCAAGATAATCAACCTTGTAATGTAGTTTTTAATCCATGAAAACACATCTCGCAGCATTAGTAAGTCAAGCAGTACAATACAAAGCTATCTGGGAAAAAAAAGCAAGCTACTGTATTTTCCCTAGAGGATTCCCTACCCCCAAGAAAAGGCCTCTCCTTCAGCAAGCAGGGACATCCCAAAATCATTCACAATTGCACCAAGTCTTGGGTGAACTCAATGGCCACTTGTGCACTCTAAGCTGAGTGGAAGGCACCAGCCTGAACTCAAGTATGGCTACAGCTGCCTTCCCCCAGGGAAGGGGCTGGGAACACAGCCCCCCACTAGCACAAAGAAGAGTACATCCAGAATGGATTTCCAGTTTTGGATATCACCAAGAAGGTACTCTGAAAGTACATCCATGTTTCTAGACAAGCCATGGACACCCTTAACCTTGTGCAGGGAAACTGTCCTGCTTGGCATGGGCACCCCTAGGCACCACAAGTGATTTATCAGCTAGTTAAGGCACTCTACCACCTGGTAACACCACAATGAAACAGTTTGGGTCTGGACCTTGCAGACTCTGGGGTAAGTAGTTCTGATGAAGACAACAGCACTGTTCACAGAAGCAGCTGCAAGTTCAGCCAACTAGCACATCTTCATCAGTGTAATTCAGCAAATCAAATGCACCTTCACAGTGCACAATCACAGTGCAGTTTTCCAGGGGCAGGTTAAAGGCACAAGTCTTGTCCTTGAGAGAGGGTCAATAAACCCTGACAGAGCTCCAAACATTGCACAAGCTTCAGGAGTTGGCTGGCTAACACAGCTCTGTGCATTATCTCACCAGAAAGACTGACACGCTCGTGTGCAGAACCACAACTGGCACGGTCCAGAGCAAGCGTGACATAAAACTGCACCGCAGAACAGGCTTAGGAGCATTATCCTAAAAAGTTATGGAAATCTGAGAAGGAATGAAGACTGTCCTCATGTTGGCAAGTGAGTCCACAGGAGCAGATTCAGCAAGTGTGAATATACGTGTCTTGGCTTTGAAACACAAAGCTGTTTACTCCTGGCTCACCTACACAGCCTTCTCGGCATCTGTGCTGCGATGCTTTTGTTTCAGGTGAAGAATTGTGTCAAACTTGCTGCACAGGAAATGAAAACCTTGCTCAACAGCTATCAGACAAGCTACACAGATGAAACATGTAAAAACATTTGTTCTAAAACAAAAATACAAGTGGTTTTACCAGCAAATACAAAACAAACATTAAATCAGAAACCCTGAAATACTCCGAAAACATGTTTATCTGTGAACAACAGGGTGCAGGACGTTGGACAGTGAGGACACATATAAGGCAACCAACCTCTGAGGTCTCCTGCTGAGGTCTTCTCTCCTTTTACATCAGACACCATGAGGTACTTCAAAACTGCAGCAACTAAGGAGATCTTGACTCAGTCATTGGCAGGAGGAAGACCAGCCTTAGTATAATTTTGGCCAGGTCTCTGTATTTCCACCTGCCGTGACAGCTGCCCCCACCATCCCCTCCTTGGGCAATCATGAGCTGCCTCTCCTCCCAAGGCTACTGTTAACCAGCAGATGAAAAAGATTTGGGTCTGGTCAGGTGGAGGCAGAGCTTTCTGTTCCCACAAGAAATGCAACAGGAGACTCTCCATGACAGGATAAGATTTCCCATTGCCCCAGCAGGAAACCCCGACAACAAAAACACACCCCAGAAGGTGTGGTGGTCCCAGCATGCTCTGCCCAGCCACAACACCCATCTAAAGCCTCTGCAGAGCTTGTCCCTCTTGCCCCAATGGGACAAAAAAGAAACCAGGAAGAGCAATGGCCTATTACAGAGAGCTTTGCAAGGGCTGTGAGTGAGCCAGTTGGGTTGACTGATTGGCACGTGTCCTACAGGGATGGCGGAGAAGTGACACTGGGGAGAAGCCACAAGCACAGGAACATGCACTGCTGCCCAAGGAAGACATTTCAACCCTTCCCCATACATCTGCATCACCCAACACCTGCCCTTGGCCCCAAAACAGCTACATCTCCCTGCACCTCTGGTAGAGGTGTCCCAGAAAAACTCACAAAAGACGGATACAGTCAATGTGCCAGCAGGGAACAAAATGGGTGACCGGATCAAGATCTGTGTGCCTTCTCTTTTGAAATGGAGTGAGATCCAGTGAAGGCTTTCAGTGCTCCGTGCCAGTGAGTGTGGCCAGGCACAAGTCATCTGTCCCTGAGATACAGCAAAGCCAAGTTGTCACACTCCTCACAGGCTCCAGAGCGTGGGGGGAAAGCCCAGGGACACCAAACCCACAGCAGCACAGGCTCTGTGTAAGCCTCAGAAATGAGCCGACACGTAGGTCAGTCTGCCACCCCTCTGCACACCTAAGGGGACACCTTCTTCTTTAATCCACTCCTCCAGAAAAAACGCATTTCAGCAACAGCCAGGCTGTGTCTCTGCTTGGCTGGTGTTGAGCAGCTCTCCATGCTGGCCAGTGGGCGGGTGTGTCTTCCACAGGCACCAAGACTGACTCACGCTTCCCCTCCTTGCACACAATTTAAGACACGACGTCCTTTTCAAACTTTGCTAGACTCCCTTTTTTTTTTTTTCCCCGGTCCGATTGGCAGAGCCGATTACACAAAAGCAGAGGTGCACACCCTGTGCACCTAGACTTTGCCTACCCCGCTCCTGGGGTGCGTGAGGCTGTTGATGTGGAGTCCGCTGATCCCATTGAGGAAGAAGAGAAAGGCAGCAATGAACTCGCACCAGTAGGTCAGCGTGAAGCCCATGAAGGTGAGGTGATCCTTCACGAGGATGGAGAAGCTCAGGACACCGGTGGCCGACAGCAGGAACGAGACGAGGATGAGCACCGAGCCCATCGACCACTTCCGCCTGGCGTTGGCGTCTTCGCACACCTGGGACACCATCAGCAGCTCCAGGCCGAAGATGGCAACCACCACGGCAAAGGACACCATGGTCCTGATGGGAATGACCCCCACGCTCAGCCCTTCCACCTGGGACAGGCTGAGGTCCGTGACGCACTTGAGGACGCTGCTGTTGCTCAGGGTGCACAAGTGCCAGAGCCCCAGGAGCTGGCCCCTCGCCAGCAGCCAGCGGCCGTCGCACACCGAGATGGACGACAAGACCACCGCGATGGCCACGCACAGGATGATCAGGCTCCTGATCAGCGTCTCAAAGAAGGATTTCTGACGTCTCGGGTGCGACGGCAGCCTCGGCACCTTGAAGGAGGAGGAAAGGAGAACACCTGAGGCAACAGCACTGCTTCAGGTTGAAACGCAGCCAGAGGGACAAAGCTGCGGGACCTCGGCGTTGGAAGTGATTTCCCTGCGCGCATCAAACCCCTTCTCACGGGGAGGCAGTGCAGCCACGGGCGGTACCCGGGGGAAAGGAAGGGTGGGTGAAGCTCTCCCCGCTCGCCGGCTGCACGAACAATGCCCCCACGTCAAGGCCCCCGGCTTCGGGATGGCAAAGGCTCCGGGGCTGAGCAGGGTCCCTGCCCTCGGCACAGCCCCGCTCCGCAGGGCCGGGGAGGATGGATGGAGCCCGACGGCTGGGACGGGGGAGGCGGCTGAAGGAGGGGGGTGAGAGCGGGCACCAAATTACCAGCACTACCCTCCTTTTCCTAAAGCCAGCCGGGCTGTTCTCTTGCCGGCAGCGCTCCGGACCCGGCGCTTCGCTCCCCCCGGAGGCAGCAAGGCTCGGTTCCCCCGGGGCTGGGCACAGAAACCCCCGCCTCCGACAGGGCCCGGAAAAAAACAC